TGATGGTAGTAGTGATGATGATAGTAGTGATGATGATAGTGATGATGATAGTAGTGATGATGATAGTAGTGATGATGATAGTAGTGATGATGATAGTGATGATGATGATAGTGATGATGATGGTAGTGATGATGATGATAGTGATGGTGATGATGATAGTGGTGATGTCGGTAGTGATGATGATGATGTAGTAGATGATGATGATGATGGTGGTGGTGGTGATGATGATGGTGGTGGTAGTGATGATGATGGTAGTGATGGTGGTGGTGGTGATGATAGTGATGATGGTGATAGTGATGAGTTAGGGTTGATGGGGAGAGATGGTAGTGATGATGTTGATGGTGGTAGTGATGATGATGATGGTAGTAGTATGATGTGCTGATGGTAGTAGATGATGCTGATGGTAGTGATGATGCTGATGGTAGTAGTAATGATGATGATAGTAGTGATGATGCTGAGGATAGTAGTGATGATGCTGATGGTAGTAGTGATGATGCTGATGGTAGTGATGATGATGATGGTGGTAGTGATGATGCTGATGGTGGTAGTGATGATGCTGATGGTGGTAGTGATGATGCCGATGGTAGTAGTGATGATGCTGATGGTAGTAGTGATGATGCTGATGGCAGTGTTGATGCTGATGGTAGTAGTGATGATGATAGTAGTGATGATGGTAGATAATAGCAATGATGTTGATTATGGTAGTGGTGAGTGGTAGGTTGAAAGTGATGATGATGGTAGTGATGATGTTGATGGTGGTAGTGATGATGATGGTGGTAGTGATGATGGTGGTAGTGATGATGTTGATGGTGGTAGTGATGATGCTGATGGTAGTAGTTATGATGCTGATGGTAGTAGTGATGATGATGATGGTAGTGATGATGACGATGGTGGAAGTAATGATGTTGATGGTTGCAGTGATGATGATGATGATGGTAGTGATAATGGTGGTGGTGGTGTGATGATAGTGATGGTGATAGTGATGAGTTAGGGTTGATAGGATGATGATGATAGTGATGATGTTGATGGTATGATGATGATGATGGTGGTAGTGATGATGTTGATGGTGTCAGTGATGATGATGATGGTGGTAGTGATGATGATGATGATGGTGGTGGTGGTGATGATGATGGTGGTAGTGATGATGATGGTAGTGATGGTGGTGGTGGTGATGATAGTGATGATGGTGATAGTGATGAGTTAGGTTGATGGGGATGATGATGGTAGTGATGATGTTGATGGTAGTGATGATGGTGGTGTTGATAGTGATGATGGTGATAGTGATGTTAGGTTGATAGGGATGATGATGGTAGTGATGATGTTGATGGTGGCAGTGATGATGATGATAGTAGTGATAGTGGTGGTGGTAATGATAGTGATGATGGTGATAGTGATGAGTTAGGTTGATAGGGATGATGATGGTAGTGATGATGTTGATGGTGATGAGTGGTAGGTTGATAGTGTTGATGGTAATAGTGATGAGTGTTAAGTTGATTGTGACGATGATGGTAGTAGTGATGATGATGGTAGTTATGAAGTTGATGGTAGTGATGATAGGGATGATAATAGCACTGATGTTGATTATGGTAGTGATGATGCTGTAATGATTGTTTAACAGACCAGAGCTTACAGCCCAGCGAAGAATAACACATATAGCAGAGACTGGAAGTGCAGGTGTGTACACCCTCGTAACTTGACCCACCCTTCCCCGAGTTCTCACCACCACGGGATCATGACCGAGTTACGCAAGAAGCTACCCTCCAGACCTACCCAGTAAGTGTTAATTAAGAGAGGTCATCTGCCGGCTTGTCACCGCCAATATAAGAGGGCTTCATCTCCTTCCCCGGTGGCACTATTATTTCAACGGAAGAGGCTGACAGCTCCTTCCCAGAGACAGACAAGGAGAGAAAGAGCTCAGAAGAAGACAGGAGTCACGCTCGTCACTAGTCGAGGTCGGGAGGGAGACTTCCCTCCCCAGCTAGCAGTCTCCCCCACTGGAGACAAGAGTCCAGCAGCACTTGAAGACATCCCCCAGCTGCTGGGCCTCCCTCAGGTCACCCGTGTGTCATTGTCAGCGATCTATAGGGTGAGTTACTTACGGTGGGAAGTGACTCCATTTTATGTTTGTGTCCGAGAGTCATTGTCTAGTAACTTCGATGTAATGATTTATTAATGTGCCCATGCCAATCAGTTAATTAATAAATAGCTGTACTTAGAATTGTGGTTCAGAGGCTTTCCCCCCAAGAACATAGTAACAGTCAAATAACTAATCTGCCACGCTACCAAACTTTCTTCACTTTACAATCGCCCTACTATAATTTCTACCTAGTTTACCCTCTTTACAATATGATGGTGGTAGTGATGTGTGGTTAGTTGATAGTGATGAGTGTTAGGATGATAGTGATGTTGATGGTATTGATGATGATGGCAATGATGATGTTGATCGGACAGCTGTTTTCGACATCGTTTGGATCATCATAGTACCCAGCCCCTGGCCGTGACACACTTCTCACCAGAACTTCAATCAAGTCTTCGTATGAGGTATTCACAGACATGATGTAGATTTTTACACTCAGTAAACATATTCTACAGCATACCTTGATACCATCATATGTCAGACGTCATGACAGGCTAGTTTTTTAATTAATAAGTGCCTTACTTTATATATTACTAACGTAATATAAATTTTGTATTTTCACTTACTCATTTACTTATAATTTAATTTGTATACTGTAAATTGATGGGCAAGCTTATTATTTAGTATAATCTCGTATGGGCGAGTTATCATTTATGGATATTTTATTCATTTATTTGGTTCAAACATTACGCATTTAACGAAAAAGATTACAATAGTTCCTCTGAATCGGAACTGGCATTGTTACTGGTTTTAGGGAAGATTTGCATGGAACACAAATTTATCTACAGCGAAACACTTCCATTGAGAATAATGAACAATTAATTTATCAATCATTTGGTGATTTACACCGTACCCACCTTAGATCAGGTCGTGCATACGACCCCACACCTTATCACGGTTCAGTTCATTCTCCCTACCCATCAAACCCCAGTGTGTGTCAGGAATCAGCTTGTCGAAGGAGCCTTGACTCGGTAGTCCACACAAACTTGTGCCCCTTCTTTGTCAGCTTGTTCAACGGTGTTGCGACTGTGGCAAAGTTCTTCACAGATCGACGGTAGTAGGTACAAAGACCAAGGAAACTACACATCTCCCTTATACAAGTTGGCACTGGCCAGTTTCTCACCACCGCCACCCTCTCTGGGTCTGTGCATACTCTGTCTTCACTTACCATATGTCCCAGACATTGAACTTCCTTCTGGAACAAGTACCATTTCTTTGGGCTCGGATTAAGGTGTGCAGCTCGGAACCGGTCAAACACTTCCGATAGCAACTGAGAATCCATGGCCCAACCCAACACGCACCTGACGCTTGACCAGACGCTAGCCTGACTGTCCTGCCGCCTCCTGGCCGCGTCCAGGCGAGTTGCTGCTGCCTCCAACTTACAGTAGTATATAGTCAGGTGTACCAACTGACAGGTGTAGTCACGTTAAGCTGGGAAGATAATTGTTTCTTTGTCTACGTGGCTCTCCTCTCGCCCTCACTGGGTTGTGCAGAAAATTGGATAAAGTGGGAGAAGTAACAAATTACACCATTAGTCACACTACGACGCCAAATATTCTCACATAGTTGTATTAGAGGTTAATTTAACTAAGTTTAGTGTTGGTACAAGTTAGTTAAGTTAGGTGAAGTTTAGTAAAATTTAGGTTGTTTATAAGGGCTTATTATAATTATTAAAACTGTACCTTCTTTTATAAGTCCGTTTTGTACCACTTAACAGTTATAAGTATCGTAAGTCTATAAGTACATTTGTTTACACTAGTTACGTGGGTAAGTAGGTAACGAGAATGTTAACGATATGTGTTTCAGGGGCAGTAACCGTGTCCTGGGCAACACAGTAACAAAATCATCTTCCCAAGCAGGTGAGTCACTGCCAAACTCACCTGTAAATCATGTAAAAAAAAATTATTTATTGGTTTAATGAATGGAGATTACCATGATTATTCTTATACCGCTCTCATGTCTGTAAATAAACACACACTCACACACACACACACACACACACACACACACACACACACACACACACACACACACACACACACACACACACACACACACACACACACACACACACACACGCACACACCCCCACTCACACACACACACACACACACACACACACACACACACACACACACACACACACACACACACACACACACACACACACACACACCCTCACTCACACACACACACCATCTCTCTCTCACTCACACACACACTTTTCGTGAATTGTTATATGTTAGATAAATGTTGTCTGACAAAGAGGTAACTACGGCTCTCCCTTGGGTGTAGTTACTGTGTTTAAAACATGAGTTCTTTGTCCCTAGTTGGGGAACCCGCTGTGAAAATTTGTTATACACCTGGATGGTGTTGGTGGAACAGGTGTATATCTTATACAGGTGTTGGTGCTGTAGTAGGTATACAGGTAGCGATAGTTTAGTAGGTATATATACAGTAACAAGACATTAAAACGACTCTCTTGTTCATTGGTGGTGGTGTATAGTATATGGGTGTAGGGGAATAAAAGTATGTGTACTTCAGCGATCTAGTAACAGGTGGAAGGATCGTGGTGGTGATAGAAGTATGTTCATTCCAACAAGCTAACCACGTTTTATTTATATTACAGGTGGAGGTTGGTACGATAGCGGTGTATTGTTGTATATTTTGTTGCAATGAAGGTAATACAGTATATATCATTTTATACATAGCAGGTGGAAATGGCAGGAACGTATAACGTATACAGTATATGCTGTGTGCAAGTAATAATACAACTATATACTGCAGGTGTAGGTGGGTAAGGTTATCATTAAGACAGGTGTGTGTATGATTGAGACAATAACCACAGTTCTTTCTCCTACAGGTGGAGGTGGAGGTGGTGGGGTCAGAGTCGCTGGGGTTGATGATCCGAGGAGGGGTGGAGTACGGCCTGGGCATCTTCATCACCGGCGTAGACGACGACTCTGCCGCTCACAAAGCTGGCCTACAGGTACGACCTTCACACCTGGTCTATTATTGTTGTTACCTCTCACAGCGCTTGTTAGGGAGAGGTAAGTAGGGGTCATTAACTCTACTTCCCGGATAATTAACGCTAACATTACTCAATAGGCTACAGGTGCAACCCTACCTGGTGGCTAATTTTTTTTGTTGCCTCTACCCTGTACTGTACTTAGGGCCACTAGTTTGGGCCAGAGGAACCCCCAGCCGGCCAGACTCCGCTGTGAAACGTTACCTAACTTAACAATGTAGGAAGTGCCAGGAGTCTAGTGCGGTGCCGGCCTCAATTACGTTTTTGTAAACTGTAGGTGTATTATTTTGTACTGTATACTCGCTGTCCTTATCAGGGCCTCGGGGGACCTACTTTCAGCACCACCCCTACCAGGAGGTTTCACTAGTAAGGAAGTGGTCGCGTGTTCCTTGTAGGCTAAAATGGTTCATATTTTTGTGTGTTTTATCGAAGTTCTTAAGGCTTTGTTCACACACACACACACACACACACACGATGAGTAATACAAACTACTATTATCCCATTACTCCTTCATCTGGCTCCTTTGATGGTCCATTATCCCTCTTCAACTTTTATTCTCTGTCTTTTCGCAATATTTTTTTTTTATCGTTTGTTATCTTTGATGCAGCATTACCCGTGAGAGGAGCGCCTTGTCCCCCCTCCAGCCTCGCTCAGACTTACGGTTATTTCTTTTATTTATATTATTAATTGATAGTTGAGATGTAATAAATATGGCGGCGATATAACTCATAAATATAAATGCCAAAATGACCCTTGAGAAATATCCCGCGTTAGTCTGTGTCCCTAGTGTCTGTGTCCCTAGTGTCTGTGTCCCTAGTGTCTGTGTCCCTATAATGTCCACATCCCAAATTTCAACATCCTTATCCCTAGTGACGACGCTATTAACCGACTTCTAATTCCATATGGGCCTTCACTGACCTGACGAATAGAATATTTGTTTGCTGAGAAGTTTTTATTCCCAGTACGTTCTATCACAGCTATTAATCAATACTTCGCCATCATTACTTACATTATTTTCTCATTGTTTCACTTCTGTTTAATATACAATTTCCCACGTTTGTTTTGGCACTTTACATATTTTACATATCCATTTTCCAATTTTGATAACTCATAATTTTTTTTTTTTTTAATGAGATAAACGAAAAAAAATCGAGCCGACTGGTGGACTCAGATATAGGAAGTCATATAAGTCACCCATCACAGGGATATTATGTGTCTTTTTCAGGCGAGGGAATCCTAATAAATCGAGGGAATATAGTACCTGTATGGGATGTCGTTCGCTCTCGTCCTCTCTCTTGATTTGCAGCGTCTTATTACTGTGCATTGGTAGTTTGGCTCACGGGTCTACTCAGGTTCTTGTCTTATGTGGGATATTCTCTCTCTCTCTGTTTGCACTTTGATGTCTTTCTTACACCATTATCGTTTCTCCTTACCTCCCTTATCCCAATCGGATTATTCCTCCACATCCCTTAAGCATCTCCTCTCAAAGCTCTCTCTCTCTCTCTCTCCGCCTCTTCTCCCTTCTACACCCTACTCGTCAGCTTTACTATGAAGGCCAGGATTGTGCCTTAGAGTGCCTGTGAGTGCCTGGACCTATTTTAAAACGCACTTGCACTCATGGTCTGTGTGGTGGTCCAGGGTGGTGAGTATGTGCATGCCAGTCGACGCTTGAGGGGGAAGTCCCGGGCCACTGCGTGAATTTTGCCGCGTTGAAGGTCTGTTGAGCTGCTCTCATGTGTCGAAACATTTCCACAGTTTTGCCACTCAAGATTCCTAGAGCTCCTCCCCTAACCATTCACAAAGTTCTGCCACATACCAGTTCCAAAGTTCCACCACTACCGATATTTCTCCTACAAATCTTTCTCAGAATTCTACCACAACTGTTAAGCATGAATGATCTGGTACCACAAACTTTTCTCATTATTATTTTACGAACAATAGTCAGAGTTCCACCGCTACTGCCCCAGAGTTCCACCGCTACTGCCCCAGAGTTCCACCGCTCTAGAGTTCCACCACATTGTCCCAGAGTTCCACTGCCATTGCCCTAGAGTTCCACCGCTACTGCCCCAGAGTTCCACCGCTACTGCCCCAGAGTTCCACCGCTACTGCCCCAGAGTTCCACCGCTACTGCCCCAGAGTTCCACCGCTACTGCCCCAGAGTTCCACCGCTACTGCCCCAGAGTTCCACCGCTACTGCCCCGAAGATCCACCACTCCCCCAAAGTTTCACCACTACCCCAAAGTTTCACCACTCCCCCAAAGTTTCACCACTCCCCCAAAGTTCCACCACTACCTGCAGCAACATCAATATATTTTCGTGGGCAGAAGCACAAAGCCTTTTCCTGTACTTCGTCTTTGTTTCAAGCCATAACGAAGCACCTTTTTTTTTTGTCCAAGGTGTGAGGAACATTATACGATATTTCTGCGTTCTCTACCCTACTGAGAGAGATTTTTCTGCGTTCTCTACCATACTGAGAGACATTTTTCTGCTTTCTCTACCATACTGAGAAAGAACGTTAGGTTAAGAATGGTTGTCAGGATTGGGAGTTCTTTTTCGATGTACAGTAGGAGTTTTTAATGTGTTGACGTGGGAAACTGTTGTGTTGACGCGGGAACCGTTGATATATTGACGGGGAAACTCCTGGTGTGTTGACGGGTAAACTCACGATGTGTTGACGGGGAAACTCACGATGTGTTGACGGGGAAACTCGCGATGTGTTGACGGGGAAACTCGCGATGTATTGACGGGGAGACTAGTGTGTTGATGGGGAACTCTTTTAATATATTGACGGGGGAAACTCTCCAGCGTACGAGAGAGGGAGGAATCAGATATAACAATACGTACACACGCTCTCCATTATCTTGCAGTAATTGTGGGATTTATCTTAATTGTGTAAAGATTGTGTCTTCCACTACGCGGTCTGAAGTCGTGGTATTTCTTCGTATTTGCTTCGTTTTTCTTCGTATTTTCTTTCTATTTCTTCGTAATACTTTTTATTTTCTTCGTAATTCTTTTTATTTTCTTCGTAATTCTTTTTATTTTCTTCGTATTTGCTTCGTATTTTCTTGGTATTTTCTTTGTATTTAATCGTATTTCTTCGTATTTTTTCTGTCTTCGTATTTGTGTCGTATTTTCAATTTCTTTGTATTTCTTCGTGTTTTCTTCCTATTTCTTCATTCTTTTTATTTTCTTCCTCATTCTTCGTATTTCTTCGCCTTTTTTCGAATTTTCTTTATTTCTTCGTATTTTCTTCACATTTGTTCGTATTTACTTAGCATTTCTTCGTATTTCCTCCTGTATTTCTTCGTATTTTCTTGCTCGATGTCTTTACCCTTGATATATATAATGCCAGTTCCTAGTCTCTTCCTCTTCTGTATTTTCAAGGATTCTCAGATAGTTGTCGAGGCTTCAGGCACTTGGAAGGAAAAACACACTGATGATGTATTTTTCTAAGAGGAATGACCTGTTTTGAGCTCCACGGTTCTGTTTTATTCTTGGTCTTGATAGGGTGTTTTTTTGTGTGTGTTTTTGTAGTACCTAAGCTTACTTAACCTAAGATAATTTAACCTAACCTAACTTACCTTATCCTAACCTAACTTAATTTGCCTTAACCTAACCTAACTTAATGTACCTTAACCTAACATAACCTAATTTACCTTAACCTAACCTAATTTACCCTAACCTAACTAAATTTACCTTAACCTAACATAACCTAATTTACCTTAACATAACCTAATTTACCCGAACCTAACTTAATTTACCTTAACCTAACCTAACTTAATTTGCCTTAACCTAACATAACCTAATTTACCTTAACCTAACCTAATTTACCCTAACCTAACTTAATTTACCTTAACCTAACATAACCTAATTTACCTTAACCTAAACGAACCTAATCTAGGGTAGTTTTTACTGAGCCTCTGATTGGTTGATTCTTCTGATCCTCTTCCATAAGTTATTTTCCTAGCAGTAATATATATATCCACTCTGTATTCATTAACATTAATACATATACATCGATGACTATGTATATTACCTCGTTAAAAATAATACACATTGTAAAACGGCGTAACTAAACTGACCACTTTTTTTATTTTTTTATTTATTTTTTTTTTACTTTTTGCTGAGTTTATGACCTTGAAAATCCCACCAATATCCTTTAAAAAAACAGTATAGCGGCGACTTGGAATTTACATAATAAAAGTTCAAATAAACCTACTGGTTAATATCACGATAAAATAAGATCACGGTGGAGTTAAATTGAACCTTTTTACTCTTATACTTAAGGTCTATATGTGGGTCGTACAATACACCCAAACACTTGACACCTCGACAGAAATATCTCAATATCCTGGGGTAAAAAAGATGGAAAGAACATAGTCATCTAAAATTGCCTGAAAGAGTGGTCATGTTGGTAATGGGAGGAGGGGAAACTGATAAAGATGATGATTGATAAATTGAGGGAGACCAGATGAAAGAGGAGATGGAAAAAGAGGAGATGGAGGAAGAGGAGATGGAGTGGGAGGAGATGAATGACATGATGATAAGATAAACTGTAAAGGAGAAGCAGACCTTTATGAAGAGAATGAGATGATAAAGAAGAGGGAGAAAGAGAAGAGAAGAGGGCAATAAGAGATATACAGGATAAGAAGTAGAAGCGTGAAGAAGAGAAAAATGGAGTGGATGAGGAATATGACGATAGGAGAGAGAGAGAGAGAGAGAGAGAGAGAGAGAGAGAGAGAGAGAGAGAGAGAGAGAGAGAGAGAGAGAGAGAGAGAGAGAGAGGAAAATACAATAACAATGAAACAAGTGGCTTTATTACCTCAGCTGGGCTCCGTGTCTTGTCTGTCCTCAAGTCGTAAGTTGGTAAACATGTGAGACCTTCCTTACTCAGCACTACGAAAGCCTTCTTCAGTTTGTTGTAGACACGGACCTGTTACCTGGGGGTTCTTCAGGTTAGG